GTGAAATGGCCTTCTGGCCTTTGAACTTGTGCTCGGAATGCGTGGTGACTTTGTGATCCACCCTGAGCTTTGCTTTGCTTTGCTTGACTGGTCTTGTGACCCCTTGTTCTCCCCCACTTTGCCTATGGGGGTGTGTCAGAACATATAGCTTACTTGTTTCTGTATGCCATAGTGGGGTATCCCATAGGGGGTACAACCCAAATTAGGGTTTCCTATTTGTACTCACTTCGTTCATAGTCATTTTATTCTCGTTCATATTTTCTCAACCTATAGCAACGATACTTAGCTCACCTGCAGTAAGGTGCTCCTCAAGCAGGTCGATGGTGAGCTCGGTGGGACGAAGGGAGAGAAAGTGGTCCCTGACAGAAGAAAGGGAGTCAGGGGAACGGATGACTAGGTAGTAGAGGGTGATGTACATAGGGGGGGGGGGGGTTCTTGGCACAGAACTCAGTAGGAAGCGCAGCGCAGTAGCGGGTGTCACTAGTGCGGAGGTGAGTATTGAGGTCAGCGACTGTGGCAAAGGTGGCTAGGTCAGGGATCAGGTACGGCAGCATGAGGCGGCTGAGGGCAGCAGTGGCAAGGGAGGAGTAGCGCGCGACGACAGCATCATACAGAGACTTAGCAGTCTTGTACTGGCCAAACTGCGCGCGCTTAGCAGACGGCAGGTGACTACGAACAGCAAGGCAAGCAACATCGTCACGGGTAGTCCATTGCGAGCGAATCGTACTGTCAGTAGTGGCAGTAGGTGCAGGAGAGACACTGGACGTGTGATCGAACAGGGAGACTCCGTCCTTGGAGTCGCACTGAAGAAAGAGCTGTAGGTTGTCTACCCAAACGTCGAAGTCAACAGCACGACCCTCAGCATCAAAGGTAAGAACAATAGGGCTAGCCATAACTGTAGTAGCAGTAGTAGCAGCAGAAGCAGCATCAGTAGCAGTAGCAGTAGAAGAAGCAATGGCAGGGCAGTGCGGCTCAGTAGGGCGGCCCGGCTAGACTAGGCGGCGCGGCTCGACTGGGCGGCGCAGCTCGGCAGGGGGGCGCGGCTCGGCGGAGCGGTGCGGCTCGGCTGGGCGGGGCGGGTGCTTACCAGGGGCGGGTGCAGGGCAGGGCCGCAGCTGGCGGTTAGGTCAGGGCTGCGACTGGGGCGGCAGCAGGGCAAGGCCGCGACTGGGCGGCGGTAGAGCAGGGCCGCGACTGGGGCGGCTGCAGGGCAGGGCCGCGACGAGTCGGCGGCAGAGCAGGGCCACGACAGGGCGGCAGTAGGGCAGGGCCGCGAATGGGCGGCGGTAGAGCAGGGCCGCAACGAGCAGCGGCAGGGGAGAGGCCGCGGCGGGTGGCGAGGTCAGAGCCGCGACGAGGGGCGGCAGGGTAGGGCCGCGACTGGCGGCTAGGTCAGGCCGCTACGGGCGGCAAGGCAGGGCCGCGGGTGGCGGCAGGGCAGGGCCGCGACGAGGCGGCGATGTCGGGGCCGCTACACAGCGGCGACAGGGCAAGGCCGCGACGTGCGGCTAGGTAAGGGCCGCGGCGGGCCGTTAGGGGAGGGTCACGACGGGCCGAGAAGGAAGGGCCGCAACGAGGGGCACTAGGGCAGGGTGCGCGACGGCGCAGGTGAGGCAGGCGTGAGACGCGCTTCGGGCAGGGCAGGAAAAAATATGTTAATCGTGGTGGGCCCTAAAAAAAAGCGTTCCCACGAGGGAACCTGCTCAGAATACCATGTCAGAAATGTGAAGGAAGGAATGATTGAACTAGCAAGCAGGTGGGTACAAGTAGAAAACCTAAAAACGTTGTACCCTATATTGAATACCCCACTACAGCCTACACAAACTATGTCATATATGTTTGACATGTTGCGCCTGGGAAACACCAACCTTCTTACTGGTACGCGGCTAAGAGGGTGGCGAAGTATGTGGCAAGTACATCAGGCATGGGACTTGTCCTTGGAGGGAAGCAGCCAGTTATACTCACAGGTTTCTCGCACTCGTCGTGGGCCGACGTGGCAGAGTCGTTGTGGTCTACACAGGGTTACTGCTTCAGTCTTTGGACCGGAGCTGTTTCGTGAAGGTCGACTCGGGCGTCGTCTGTCTCCAGTTCCAGCTGTGAGGCAGAGGTGTACGCTGCGGCCATGGCCACCCAACAGTTTCGCTGGCTGCCTTTCGTCCTCACCGACCCTGGTGAGCGGCCTCGCTCTCCCCTAGTCTTGTTTGCTGACAACAGGTTTGCTATCATGTTGTGCGAGGAGCCTCGACTGGTTGGGAAGGCGAAGCACATGCAGCTCCGTTACTTCCTTCTAGGACAGTTCCAGCAGCGTGGCCTGGCACTCGTGCAACCAGTGGTCTCTTAGGCCAACACTACAAATATCTTCACCAAGGCTTTGCCGCCTTGTGACCACCAGCGTTTCTGCACCCATCTAGGCCTTGTTTCTACCATGCCTCACTTGCTTGCGTAGAGATGCTTTATCTTGTACTCTTCCATCTCACTATATTTCCTATATCTCTGCTTGTGGATTGGCCTTATGGCCCCTTTCTTTCGTAGAAATGCTTGTCATGCTTGTCTTGTACACGTGCATCTTTTATATTTGCTATGTCCTTGCATGTGTACTGGCCTTGTGGTCTCTTGCTTGTTCTCGGGCTGCGTGGTGATTTTGTGATCCACCCCGAGAGTTGTTTTGTTCTTGTGAATTGGTCTTGTGACCGTTGCTTGTTCGTGCTGACTGGTCATGTGACCCTTGCTGTGTTTTGCTATACACAGGACTTTCGTCACCTAGACTATGGGGGTGTGTCAAGCTATATTTGTTATAGCTTCTATTTTTTATTCTAGCTGCACTTTCTGTTTGTTAGGGTTAGGGTTAGGGTTCATATATTCTTCTTGTATTCTCTCTGGTTCTAACAATTAGATCTTTAGAAAATCTTCTTTAGGGCGAGCCACTCCGCGCGCATCGAAGGTTTCACGGTGTCGTCCGTGCAGCATCCCTTCGAGTTGTTCTGCTGGTGTGTGGGGGAGGGGGATTGCTGGGGGTGCCAATGTCACGGCGCGATGAAACCTCGAGTTTTTGTGTAGACATTCCCTCGCTCGGCGGTAAGTGTCTCTCAGCTTCGGCGATGGCGGCGAGTCTTTGACCGGCGATTGCATCTGTTGATGCGGTCGGCGTGTGGCAGTCTCTGCAGATGCCGTCGGGGTCGGGATCGTGCAGTGCAGCCTTGTGCGGTTGTGGATGGTGCAGCACCCAGTGTTTCTTGTCTGCACGCTTTCATTCAGAGCGGTAAATGTGGACAAAGTGGAGCGGGATGAGGTCGATGAGCTCATCCGTGTCCCCGGTGGTGTTGGGAATGTCAAAGCCGAGTACATATACCCCGTTCTAAGACTGGGCTCGTCCGATCTGCTTATGCGGTTTGTTTGGTGCCGTGTAGTGCATAATGATGTCGCGCGACTTGGGGTCTGTGCTCAGTTGTACCCCGCCTTTCATGAGTTGCGCTACCGAGAGGAGATTGAATCGCAGACTTTGCACGATTAGCACATCGTTCAGCATGATGTGCATCCTGCTCCCGTGCGCCTTAATTACAATGATGACTTGCGCGCTTGCGTGCAGGCGGTTGTTGTTCGCCATGGTTAAATATGTGACCGTGGGGGTTGGGACGACATTGGATATGAAACGCTTAGGTCCCACCATGTGCTTGATACAACAGCTATCGAGGCATTACCTTCAATTGACGTCGCACTCGAGCAGCTCCAATCGTGGTGTGACGATGTGCGAAGTGTCGAATTTCAGAAACTGTTCGTGCGATTTTTTGTCGATCGGTGCCGCCCGTGAATCAGGAATGTGCTGGGGGCTTAATAGCAGTAGGATTGGAAAATTCCAATCCTAGTCCTCATCGTCGCTGAAGTCGTGTCGGGAGGTAAATTGTTTATTGTTCGTAAATGGCCCGATAAGCTGCAGTGCAGGTTCTGGCGGCGGCGTGCAGGCGGCGGCGATGAGTTCCGGGCAAGTGAGTCATCGTCATGTTGCCGACAACGTTGCGCGCAGGTGCGGGTTGCGACGGCTGCTGTTGCTGGTGCTGAACCGAAGGGTTCAAATTGCGCGATGGGGAGTGGTACTCCTGGGCTTGACGCGTGTCGAGCCTTGCGTCTTGCCGACCGGCCAAGGTGCTCGAAATTTGCATCGCTCGGCCAGGTGTCTTTTCAAATTTTGCAGTAAAGGCATCATAGTCAACGTTTTTTCTTTGTTGTCGATGTAGAACACAATTTGTTTCCGGTCTCGTCGCGGCGCGGGTCGCTGCTGATCCATATCCCTTCGTTGAGGAGATGGGCGGCGCATAGGGCGGCTTCCAATATAGCCCCCTGTTGTCGAAGAAGCGCCTTATAGGGTCGCCATTGAGGTGTCGCCAAGCTTCAAGGGCTGGAGCAGGTGATGTCCTGTAAGAACGAATTCCTAGCTGCTCCGCCGGTGAACTGTTGCGGAGAAGTATATCGTACGCAAATAGTGATTCGCTGTAATACTGTGCTCTAGCATCGTCGATGTCGACCGTGGGTCCTGCGTAGCTCCCGTCAAAATAATGAAATATATGTGCGTTATGCCCGATAGAGTTCGCCACGTTGCTCACTGACCTGCAACTGTACCTAATGACCGATGCTCAAGATGGCGTTTACCTGTTTGACCACACGTCTGGCTCCTCAGTTGCTCCTCCTGGCACAGATGACAGCCTCTCTGTTCACAGTGGCAGACCCGTGACGCAGCTGCTCGCCTAGCTATTTGCAATCATCTGCCGTTAGCTGAACGTGCTCACTTCGGCCAGCACAAGACAGCTAAGGACCTGTACACCACTGTATTCGCTCGCTACTCTTCCCCTGCCACTGCTGCTCTGAGCCTCCTTATCCTACCCTACCTATTCCCAGAGCTGTCCTCCTTTGCCACAGTTGAGGACCTCATCTCCCACCTTCGCGCTAGTGACGTTCGCTACTGTGCCGCTCTCTCTGCAGAGTTCTTAGCCACGAACCCGCCCCCGATGTACATCACGCTCTACTTCCTAGTCACCCGCCTCCCTGACTCTCTTCGTACGGTCAGGGACCACTCTCGCGCTGTTGACCCTACCGCCCTCACTGTCGACGACTTCTAGAAGCACCTCCGTGCAGCTAAGTAGAGCATTGTCGCTGTAGGTGCTGCTCGTGGCACTCCTCGCACTCCCCTCTTTGAGAGGTGTTCCTCCTCCCCCCTTGCCCCCTCCTACGCTTTTGCTGCTGCTGTTGACTTCCTTGGTGCTGAGGAGGTCTGTGCTGCTTCTGCTCCTAGTGGGAAGCGCCGCAGTGGCAAGGGCAGGGGCGGCCGGAGTGGTGGAGGTGGCGGCGGGGGGGGCAGTGGTGGAGGCGACACGGGTGGTGGAGGTGGCGGAGGTAGTGGTGCGAGTGGTGGCGGGAGTGGAGGCGTTAGTGGCGGCGGTAGCGGTAGTAGTGTGAGTGCAAGCGGTGGAGGCGGCGGTAGTGGGAGCGGTGGCGGTGGAGGCGGCAGCGGCGGTGGTGGCGGCAGTGGGAGTGGTGGCGGTGGTAGTGGTGGCGGTCGGGGTGGAGCCTTTCAGAGGGGAGGCTCTGGTGGTGGCCAAAGGCAGCAGCAACGTCCGTGCGAGACCCTTACACCCCAGCAGCTTCGTGAGTGGTATGCTCAGAGTGGGGCGTCTGGGGGTGCTGTCCGCTGCCCGTATGTCATTCGCACAGGTCCGCGCACTGGTCAGCCATGCTTGCTACTTCTCCCGTCTTGATGACGCCTGGCACACAGTTTCCTGATGCACCTGAGCTTCTCCGATGGGCAGACTTGCTTAGGCCCGATGTCGATATCTTTGCTCTTGACTATGATGCTATTCTTGCTGCCATGTATGCATTGTCTGTTAGTGCTGAGGGTGACGGTTACCTGTGCGTACCGCCCGACCCAGGTATAGAGGCTGCTGCTCTAGTTGCTAGTGAGTCTGCTCTCTCTGGTACTGCGCCTGATGAGGCCTTGCAAACTTTCACGCATGACTCAGATGCTTCTTGCTACTTCTTTCGCCATAGTACCATAGTCACGCCACTCCCTGCACCTGTTGTAGTCTCTTTGGCTGACCCCTCAGGGGGCCCAGTTCGTGCTCGTTCCACCACTATACTCCCGTGTCCGGTGGTTCCGTCTGGCTCGCTGTCAGCTCTTCACCTCCCCTTGTTCCTGACGAGCTTGGTGAGCAACGCCGTCCTCCAGGATGCATGGGTAGCGTATGGTACCTTCACACCTGGAGGGCAGCGTGTGGAAATCTGTACGTGCTTCCGGACTGGCCGTCACCTGGCCACGTTCACCCGTCGGCGTGGGTCGAGTCGGTACACACTGATTTCTCAGGTAATTGCGTCCGGTCAGGTGTACGCGTCGCGTTAGGTAGCCATCCCTTGCTTGTGCCGCCACCTCTCGCACCAGACTCTCCTGTGGCACCACCGCCTTAGTCACCCCTGTGAGAATCGAACGAGAATGAATGAACTATGAAAGAAGTGGGTACAAGTACTAACCCTAATTGGGCTGTACCCCCTACGGGATACCCCACTACAGCCTACACAACAGCATAAGCTATAATGTTTTGACACACCCCCATAGGCAAAGTGGGGGAGAACAGGGGGTCACAAGACCAGTCAAGCAAAGCAAAGCAAAGCAAGCTCAGGGTGGATCACAAAGTCACCACACATTCCGAGCACAAGTTCAAGGCCACAAGGCCAGTTCACATGCAGGATTACATATATATATATATAAGGCTAGACAAGCAAGAGCAGGTATATATATCTGTAAGAGTACAAGAAAGGTCAAGAGGTGAGCAAGTGAGGCAAGACAGGGACAAGACCTAGCGGAGTGCAGAAGCGCTGATGATCACAAGGCGCAAGTGCCTTAGTCACCCCTGTGAGAATCGAACGAGAATGAATGAATTATGAATGAAGTGGGTACAAGTACTAACCCTAGTTGGGTTGTACCCCTTATGGGATACCCCACTACAGCCTACACAAATGTATAAGCTATATAATGTTCTGATACACCCCCATAGGCAAAGTGGGGGAGAACAAGGGGTCACAAGACCAGTCAAGCAAAGCAAAGCAAAGCAAGCTCAGGGTGGATCTCAAAGTCACCACACAGTCCGAGCACAAGGTCAAGGCCACAAGGCCAGTTCACATGCAAGAGTACACATATGTATAAAGCCAGACAAGCAAGAGCAGGTATATATATATGTGACAGTACAAGCAAGGTCAAGAGGTGAGCAAGTGAGGCAAGACAAGCACAAGACCCAGCTGAGTGCAGAAGCGCTGATGATCACAAGGCGCAAGTGCCTTGGTGAAGACATCAGCAGTGTTGGCCTCAGAGGCCATGTACGCAATCCGCAACCATCCACGCTGCTGTAGCTTACAAGCAAGGAAGTAGCGGAGAGCAATGTGCTTTGTTCTGTGCTCCAATCGCTGCTCTCGACACAAGGCCAGCATGGCCTTGTTGTCTACGTACAGAACTGGAGGAGAACGAGGCGGCTCTCCAAGGTCAGTCAGCAGGTAGGTGAGCCAGCGAAGCTCCTGTGCAGCCATGGCCCCAACGTAGATCTCAGCCTCACACCTGGAGCTGAGAACAGAAGACGAGCGAGTAGCCCGCCACGAGACAGAGCCGGAACCAAGGCTGAAGGTGTAACCCTGTGACGACCGCTGCGTAGCCCGGTCGTCAGCCCAAGAAGCGTCTGCGTGCCCAGTGAGGACCACTAGACTGCGCCCTCCAAGCACTAGCCCCATGCCCAACGTACTGCACAAGTAGCGCAACACCCTCTTCGCTGCAGCCATGTGCTCTCGAAGGTGTCTCCCAGGAGCAACATAGCGTGCAAGAATGCTAAAAGGGTATGCAAGGTCACGTCGTGTGCAGGTCATCAGGTACATGAGGCAGCCAACAAGCTCTGGATATGGGCCACTCGACTCTACGGACTCATCCGAAGGCAGAGCTGAGAGCGAGTGGCGAGTAGGCAGAGGAGTGGCCTGAGGCGAAGAGTACGTGAAGCCAAAGCGCTGAAGGACCTGCTGCACCATGTGTGACTGAGTCAGGGTAATGGTGCGGCGTGCTCTGTCCCGGGTGATCTGCAAGCCAAGGTAGCTGCGCAGTTCACCCAGGTCTGTACACGTGTTTCTCTTCTGCAGCTCCGACTTCACGTAGGCGAGTCCAGCAGTGTCAGCTGTGGCAAAGACCAAGTCGTCGACGTACACGAGGATGTAGAACGGCGGCAGAGAGGTGTGGGTGCGTAGAAACAGCGACGGGTCGGCAGTAGAAGGAGCAAACCCAAGAGCCGCAAGCGTAGTCCTCAGTGTGTCGTGCCACTCACGTGGCGCCTGGCGGAGACCGTAGACTGGACGCCGGAGACTCCACTGGGTACCAGGAGGGAACGACCCAGTGAAGCCAGGTGGGCGGCGCAGCCAGATCTCCTCGTGCAGGCTGCCCTGCAAGAAAGCTGTGCTGAAGTCGAGAGAGTGCAGCTCGTAGTCACGGTGAGCAGCAACGTGCAGCAATACCCGACGAGTGGTCATCTTCGGGGTGGGAGAGAAGGTCTGAAAGTAGTCAACTCCCTGCCACTGACTGAAGCCACGAGCCACGTACCGTGCCTTGAAGACAGGCGGAGAACCCGGCGGCCGCTTCACCCTGAAGAGCCACATGCCACTGACGATGTTTGCCCCAGGCGGGGGAACCTCGTCAACGTAGGTGCCTGTGGACTTCCAGGAAGCCGTCTCTGTGTCCATAGCTGCCTGCCACTGAGAGGAGTAGGGACCCTCTATTGCCTCCGCGTAAGAGCGCGGAGTCGGGATGTCAAGTGCATCCGGGTCTCCCTCACAGGTAAGCAATACAGACAAGAGATGAGGTGAAGCAGCAGCCAGACACTGGAACTCCTCCTGCCTGTCCTCAAGGACGTCCGTGCCAAGGGCACACTCACCCCCGACGGACGGAGGACAGACAGACTCAGACTGAGCGACAAGACTAGCAGCGTAGTCTAAGCGACAGCGAGCAGCAAAGTCGACGAGCTCAGCAACTAGGGCAGACGCAGCACTGGACTCCAAAGAAGGGTCAGTGACGACAGTAGCAAGGAGACGCGTGACAGTAGGACTGGCAGCACGAAGAGAGTCCGACTCCGGGTCGGCAAGAGCACGAAGAGAAGACTAAGGAGGAGAAGGCAAAGGGGCACGCAGAGGAGCAGTAGACGGACGCAGAGACATCTGGTGCGTGCCAGGGACAGGAGGAGGACGCTGACGCGAACCGCGACCACTAGCGCGAGCAGCACGGACAGGGGACGCAGGGCGAGACGCAGGCTCACGACGCTCAGCAAGACCTCCAGTAGGACCAGTGTAGGGAGACGGAGCAGGCAGTGGGGAGGCCTGCTGTAACTGTAACTGTGACGGGACAGGCTGTGGACACTCTAAGGGAGGAGGAGGACCAGTAGAAGGCGGGAGACCAAGAACCTGCTGAAGGAGCGGAACAAAGTACGGCTGAGGCCGCACGGCGACTCCAGACACAGCAGGGACAGCACCAGTACTCCCAGCGGCAGCACCAACACCAGCAGCACCTCCAGCTCCAGTACCTCCAGCAGCACCAGGAGCACCCCCAGCAGGACCACCTCCAGGACCTACAGCAGTAGCCTCCGCGCTAACACCCGCAGCAGCTCCAGCTCCAGAAGTACCCACAGGCCTAGCAGCTCCAGTACTCCCAGTACGAGCACCTCCGGGACCCGCGGCACCAGCGCCCTCAGCAGCAGTAGAACCTCTGGTTCCCGCAGCACCTCCAGCTCCAGCAGCTCGCCTCCAGCGCCGGGCAAACCACTCACGCAACTCCTGTGGAGAGAGTGGCTCCCGGCGAGACGAAGAACACGGAGAACCGCCAGGCACAGCACCGCCACACCCCACACGAGCAGGCCCAGCTCCCTCAGGCTCCTCACCCCCAGGCTCAGCACCTCCAGGCTCAGCACTCCCAGGCGTAGCACCCCCAGGCTCTGCACCCCCAGTCGTAGTACCCTCAGGCTCAGCACCGCCAGGCGTAGCACCAACACGCTCAGCACCCCCAGAGACAGCACCCCCAGGCTCAGCACCCTCAGCAGCACCAGAGTCACCAGCGACCTCGACAGGCTCAACAGCGTCTACCTGGGAAACACCTGAAGGGGCAGGACCCTGAGGGGGGAGGGGGTCTACCGGGGGGGGACCTGGCACAAGGAAGAGCGGTGGCGAGGGGAGGGACGGAGTGCGGTAGGGGAAGAGACGGTAGTAGGGGACCGACTCGTCGAACGTGACGTCCTGGGAGGACAGAACACGGCGAGAGGTGGGGTGGTAGAACTGCCACCCAGGCGCGTCAGGGGGGAAACCCAGGAAGACGCAAGGAGCAGCACGAGGGGACAGCTTGTCCGCAGACAAGTCGCGGACAAACGCCCGAGATCCCCAGACTCGGAACGCAGACGCATCGCCAACCTTCCCCGTCCACTGCAAAGCTGGGGAGGTCTCCGGCATGGAGACCCTGGGCTGAAGGTTGATCTGATGCGCCGCGTACCGGACCGCAAACGGCCACAGAAAATGGGGGGCAGCCGCATGCATCATGGACGTATGGGCGACGTCCATGACCATGCCAATGCGGCGCTCAGCAATCCCATTTTGCTGTGGAGAGTCCGGAAGCGTGAAGGTCTGGCGGATGCCTCGTGCACGACAGTATGCTCGCAGAAGGCCAGAGGAAAACTCTCGCCTCTGTCAGAGTGCAGACGTAGAACAGGAAAGTCTGAGCCGAAGCCCTGCCTGAGCTGGAGACGAGCTGCGCGGATACAGTCGATCAGCACCTCAGTGACATCACCCTTGCTGCGCAAGGGGAAGACTCTGGTGTAACGCGAGTAGTCGTCAACCACCAGCAGGAAGTAGCGCTCGTGACTCTGTCCACGGACGCGGGCTGGGCCCCACACGTCCATGTGAAGCGTCTGCAACGGGGCCTCTGTCGGAGGAAACTGGGAGGAGTGAGGGGCAGCCCGCTGCCGCCCCTCGACACAGGGGACGCAGGTAGGGCTAGGCCCCGTAGGAAGTTGAGGGAGGGACCGGGGAAGACCAGAGACAAGGACACGGGAGGCCATGCTTCGGAGACGAAGCAGGGAGGGGTGACCAAGGCGGTGGTGCCAGAGGAGGGTCTCGTGAGACAGGAGGCGACACGAGCAGGGGGCAGACTCAGGACCAGACCTGGACGCTGCAGCAAACACCTGTCCTGACGCAGCTACCTGACCAGACACAGTGGCTAGAGGGGATGCAGTGGTCAGTGTGTACAGGCTCGACCTCGGCCGACGTGTAAACGTGGCCAAGTGTCGGCCCGTCCGAGCGTCCGTGCAGTGGGACACCTGCTGGCTCGCAGGAGTGAAC